TATCATCTATATCTATTTCTATCTATCTCTATCATTATTTCTCTATCATCTATCATCTATATCTATTTCTATCTATCTATCTATCTATCTCTATCATTATTTCTCTATCATCTATCTATCATCTATATCTATTTCTATCTATCTTTCTATCTATCTCTATCATTATTTGTCTATCATCTATCTATCATCTATATCTATTTCTATCTATCTATCTATCTATCTATCTCTATCTATTTATTTATCATCTCTCTCTCTCTCTCTCATCTATTTCTCTCTCTCCCTCCCTCCCTCCCTCCCTCTGAAATCACAAGGGATGAACACTGGATCTCCCCCCGGGCGGGCCCAACCATTTGTTTGCGAAGGAGGCAAAGTGGCACCGGCAAATTAGAGAACGTTCAGCCAGCTGGGCAGCTTCTGAGTAGCCTGGATGCACCCAATGTGCCAAAGAGGTGGCCAGCACTGAAACAGAATCAGTCTGCCCGTCCGGTCGGTTTCTGTACAGAGAATTTACCCCTTCATTTTGGGTAGCAAAATAACCTGGAGCTGATCCTAGCTTCCCTCTGGTCACACAGTGGCGGCCTTGTGCCTGTGGATGAGGTGGACATCTCACGCTTCTAAAATTGTGTAGCAATGCTAACTGTACACACACACGCACACGCACACACACACAGGGTATTTCTGTCCGTGTCTGAGCGCCTCTCCATTCATTCTTTTGCTGCATTTAATTATAAGAAAGATGCAAAAAGCTCTGCCATCAGTTCCACGGACAGCAAATTTATTTGGCTGTCTTTAGCGGGTTTCTTTTAGCTTTCCACTCCCCACAAAAATCCCCCCGCCAAGTATTCATGCCCACACACACAGAGTATCTGAAACGAAGATACGCCATGGAGAATTTGCAGTCGTTCTTTTATAAGGGGACGTCGCCCTTGGAGAATCTCCAGGAAGAACCATCCTGGAACATCCAACTTGCCACAGGCCGGGCAAGTTGCATATGTTAAAATGTTCTTCGTTTTTTTCAAATATGTAGGCCATCCTTCCAAACCAGGCTTCTAAAAAATGGTCATAGAATCAGAGGGTTAGGAGGGACCTTAGACGTCTTCTAATCCAACCCCCTGCCCAAGTCCTTGGACAATTTAGAAGAGGGTTAAATAAAGTAAAGGAGGTTTATTTTATTTATTTGTTTGTCTGTTCGTTTCTTTGGTGGATTTCCCCCCCGCCCATCTCCCCCACAATAGGGGACTCTGGGCGACTTACAAAAAACATTAAAACTATAAATATATCTAAAACACATAATACATCCAGAATTTAAAAGTTGCAGGCAAAGCTGCAGTTGTTCAGCGAAGGTAAATAGTTACGAAGTTTTAATGGCAGAGAAAAATGCTAATTGCATTCTGCTTCCCTAGCAGAGGCAGCCTGGTGAACCTGGGTTTTCTTGATGAGCATCTTCTGGGTCCTCCAAACCACATTTTGGAGACCGCATCCAAGTGATGCTCAGCCCTTCTAATTTCCATGGCTCTCCCTTCTACAATATTCTTGAGATATTGACCCCAAGAGGAATCTCGATATTGGCTACTAAAAGAATGCTTATTCTTGATAGGATGGGCACCGACGGGCGCCCTTCCCAATTCTGCTGGCAAATGATGAGAACTGAAATCCAGAGTTAGTGGGGACAAGGTGAGATCCAAATGCAGGGATGCTCAAGAGGTGAAAGAGGGTTAGGAGAATGGAAGGCAACGAGCATATTGTCGAGTCTATTGATCCACGGGACCAACGAATCCTTTTTATTCCTATTTTGGTTTCAAAGCCCTGTATGCTTTTCCAGACCTGGAGTCTGAATAAATCAAATTGTTTCGTTACAGGGAACCGCAGGCCTGGATGGGAAGAACGGGGCGAAAGGAGAAAAAGGCGATCGAGGCGCGCAGGGGCAAAAAGGGGAGCCGGTGAGGATTTTTTGGACAGATTTCCTCTTTGCTTGTAATTGATCTTTGGGTGTTTTCCGTACGTTCCTCGCTGGCTACGTGAAGCTCAGGGAAATGAGAAGGGGATTTATCTCCCCTTCGGAGAAAAGCAGCAAGGGGATGGGTCACTAAGCGTGGGCTTAAATCGAAAACCCACAGAACCTGAACGAAAAGACGTCCATCCGAAGCACACTGGACATCTTGCTTGGGAAAATTACTCCATCAGCGTTGGCCTCGTCCACAGCAAAGTAGGACAAGCTATGGCCACACCGATCCCACGAGGGCTTCACTGCACAAGGCCCTCCTTTACATGCCACTCAGTGACGTCTTGTAGATGCTCAGACGCCGCAAAAGCCCCTCTCGTTCCTGGCTTGCTGGCAAAAAACAGGCCAGCCGACCCAGCTGGATTGTTTTCTGCTGGTGATTCCCTGCCGTTGCTGGCCTGTTTTTTGTGGGCAAGGAATCGCTGAAGTGCTACATTGATATGTTTTTAGTTCTGCCACTCTCTACTTGGATGTTTTTGTTAAATTGTCTGAGAATCAAGTCACGTCTATTGGCTTCACTGTATACTGTAGATCAGTGTTTCTCAGCCCTGGCGACTTGAAGATGTGCGGACTTCAACTCCCAGAATT